TTTTAGTGTGCCGACCAGCCACAGAAGCGCATTTGGCACCTGCGCGGCGCTCTCAGGGCCAGGGGGCTGCCTGCCAGAGCCAACCTGGCGGGAGGCTGTCCCCGTCACCCGCATCCCCCTGCGACCAGTGCTCCCTGGGTTTGCCCGTGGGACCAACGCACCGGGGGAGAGAGTGTGAATACAGCCCCCGGCACCGTGGATGGACAACCCCTAACACCAAGAACTGTGGACGTACAACTCGTAGCACCCCAGACATACGGCCCGTAGCACCGGGCGCTATGGATAGACAGCCCCTGGCACCACGCACCATGGATGTACAGCCCCTATAGCACCAAGCGCCATGGACATACAGCCCCCAGAACCATGCACCATGCACCATGGACATACAGCCCCTATAGCACCACACACCATGGACATACAGCCCCCAGCACCGTGCACCATGGACATACAGCCCCTATAGCACCATGAACCATGGACAGACAGCCCCTGGAACCATGCACCATGGACGCAGAGCCCCTATAGAACCACGCATCGTGGACATACAGCCCCCAGCACCATGAACCATGAACATACAGCCCCTATAGCTCCATGCACCATGGACATACAGCCCCTGGCACCAAGGACCATGGATGCACAGCACCTATAGCACCACACACCATGGACATACAGCCCCCAGTACTGTGCACCATGGATATACAGCCCCTATAGCACCATGAACCATGGATATACAGCCCCTATAGCACCATGAACCATGGATATACAGCCCCTGGCACCATGCACCATGGACGCACAGCCCCTATAGCACCACGGACCATGGACGTACAGCCCCTGGCACCAAGGACCATGGATGTTTAGCCCCTGCCACCGTGCACCATGGACATACAGCCCCTGGCACCATGCACCATAGACGCACAACTCCTATAGCACCATGCGTCTTGGACATACAGCCCCTATAGCACCATGGACGTACAGCCTCTAGCACTGTGAACCGTGGATGTAGAGCCCCCAGCGCCAAGCAATATGGATGGACAGCACCTGGCACCACATACCATGGGTGTGCATCCCCCAGCATCATGGACATACGGCCCCTGGCACCGTGCACCATGGATGTACAGCCCCTATAGCACCGTGCACCATGGACATACAGCCCCT